AGAGAGAGAGAGAGAGAGAGAGAGAGAGAGAGGGAGAGAGACAGAGAGAGAGACAGAGAGAGAGACAGAGAGAGACAGAGAGAGAGAGGGAGAGTCAGAGAGAGAGAGAGAGAGAGAGAGAGAGAGAGAGAGAGAGAGAGAGAGAGAGAGAGAGAGAGAGAGTAAGCGAGAGATACAGAGAGAGAGACGGAGGCAGAGCTACCTTCACGAAGAACAAAGACAACACCAGATAGAGGGGCAGCAAAGTGCAACAGAAACAAACCTGAATAAGAGTCTCAGCAACAGAGTCAATGTGTGTGGGGCCCAAACACGTAACAAGTAGCATTGCCTCCCACTCAGCTCTCAGCAGGTCCTCTTTCTTCCTGCGGAGCCTCCGTGAGATCGAGTCTGCGATCGTCTCCGGGATCATCTCTGGGATCGTCTCTGGGATCGCCTTTGGGATCGTCTCTGGGATCGAGTCTGGGATCGTGTCTGGGATCGTGTCTGGGATCGACTCTGGGATCGTGTCTGGGATCGACTCTGGGACCGTGTCTGGGATCGTCTCCTCGACGTCATTTAAGTAGTCTGGGGTAAGGCACCGGGTAGAAGACACCGGCTTGTTGTGAGGGGAGAGCAGCGGGCCCCTCTTCTGCTGCAGCAGCAACCTTTCTGATTCATACTCCTCTGCAGGCCGCTGCCACGCAGCGCACCGCACAAAGCAAACTATGTCGCGTACCTTGTGTTTATTTGCTGCTGTTGCTGCTGCAGCAAGCAGCAAAGAATCCGGGGTCGGCAGATCCGACAACGACCACACGGGGAACTTTCCATCTGCTGCTACTTCTGCTGCTGATCCTGCTGCTGCTGCTCTTACTGCTGATGCTGCTTTTGCTGCTCGTGCTTCCGATGCTTCTGCTGCTCTTCTTTCGAGTGGAGCAGCTCCTCTTGCTGCTGATGTTGCTGCTGCTGCGGCTACAGCAGCAGCAGATCGCGTGAGGAAAGCTGAGGCCACTCTTGAGTGGATGCTCCCCTTCCTCTCGGGTGTATGTACACCGGATACAGCGCCTTGCAAGCCTTTATAAGCAGCAAGAGGTGCAGCGCTGTGGGGCCCCCCAAAGAGCAGCAGCACAACTACCAAAAAGATACAGGGACCCATTATTCCCTCTACAGGGGGGCAGCTGGATGGCCCTGGGAATCAGTCCTGGGATCGGATCCCAGGGATCGGATCCCAGGGATCGGATCCCTGGGATCCGATCCCACGAGTGGAATTCGATCCCAGGTGTGGAGTTCGACCTATTCTTTCCCAGGGCCCCCCGACAGAAGGAAGAAAAAATGGAGGCTTGAACTATCTTGGGAGTTTAGTGTGCATGCGAGGAGGCAGAAGGAGCTGCCTATACACCGCAGCTTCCCGAGTTTGGGGTGTACGAGCAGCAGCAAGCAGCACAGTTGCAGGGGGCCCCGGCGGTGTGGGGTGTTCGTGGATCTTTTGCTGGTTTTACCCGCGTCAATGAGCAGATAAAACAATTAAACAAAACAAATAAAATGCATTTAAAAGCGTCTCTAGGGAGGGCCTCTCTACAAGGCCCCCCAGGGATAGAGAGAGCTCCAGAGCAGCAGCCCCTTAAACGAGAAAAAAGACGCTTAATAATGGAGATTTGAAACAATTAATCAATTAAATCAACAAGCCGGTCTATCTATTTATATTTTATCTCTTCAAATGCAACATATTCTAGGCAGCAGCAAACAGAGCAGCAGAGCCCTCCGGGGGCCCCCAGGGGGCCCCCAGGGGGCCTCTGTAGCTATCGGTAAGAAATTTTTACTAGACAAACAAAGAGTTGAAGCTTCCTTGTATTTCACGTTTTTGCTTTTCACTATCTGTTCAAAATGCCGAGGTTTAGGGTTTAGGGTTTAGGGTTTAGGGTCTAGGGTTTAGGGTTTAGGGTTTCGAAGCATCGGGGTCACCTGTGAAGGTCACTTGGTGTTTGTGGATTTTTTTTCTTTTTTTGTTCTTTTTTCTTTTTAAAGATTAATATTTGTTAAAATGAGAGGAGTTAACAGTGGGGAGGTGGAAATTAAAGAGACAGAAGAACCGATAAACGGGTCTGCGCCGCCTCTCTCTTTTCTTTCTCGTGGCTGCGCTGCTGCAGCAGACACGGGAAGTTCTGCTGCTGCTGCTGCTGCTGCTGCTGTTGCTGGCGAGCATGAGGCTGAGCCTGCACCACCAGTAGCAGGACCAGGACCAGCAGCAGCAGCAGCAGCAGGAGTAGCAGCAGCAGCAGCAGCAGGAGTAGCAGGAGCAGGAGCAGGAGCAGGAGCAGGAGCAGCAGGAGCAGCAGCAATGTGTGAGGGTTGTACAGACGAGGAAGTTCTTCTGGATCTGCACCTTTTACCGGGTCGCAGCAAACGCCGCAAATCTTTTTTTCTTAATTCTACTCTTTGGGATATCAAACAAATTGTTGAAAAAGACCTCCGCATACCCGCACTCGTCGTAGCAATTGTACCCCTCTCTCCTCCACATCAAAATGACGCTCACAGCCCCCAATCAGGGGGCCCCCAATCAGAAGGCCCCTACTTAGGGGGCCCCCTCGTAGGGGGCCCCCACTCAGAGGGCCTCTTAGGGGGCCCCTTAGGGGGCCCCCCAAGAAGTTCTCAAGGGGGTCCCCCAGGGGGGCCCCAGGGGGGCCCCCCAAGTGTCCCCCCACGGGGCCCCCCAGGGGGCCCCTCTGGGGGTTTTTTAGGGGGGCCCCCTTGCCGTCTCCCGTGGAGCAGTAGTTTGAATTCTTTAGGGTTTGGTTGCAGTGGAGGTAAAGCAGAGGCCCTTGCGGTGTATCTGCACAGACCCGCTAATGCAGATGCAGAAACAGCGCTGCCTACCCTGGAGTCTCTAGGCTACCCTGAATTCCTCGCAGATGCTACCGCCGGTACAACCCTAAACCCTAAACCCTAAACCCTAAACCCTAATAAGCAGTACTATACCCTCATAAACCCCAAAAAACCCTCATAAATCCTAGAAAACCCTAATAAGCCCTACAAAACTCAAATAAACCCTCGTAAACCCTTATAAACCCTCAAAAACCCTCATTAACCCTTATTAATCCTAATAAACCCTCATTAATGTTAATAAAACCCTATTTAAAAACCATAAGTAGGTCCCAATGAAACCTTAGGTGAGCCCTAGGAAAACCCTAGTTACGCTCTGAGCAAATCCTAAACCCTAAACCCTAATCCTAGACCATAAACCCTCAACCTTAAACCCTGAGAGGTCGCAGCACGTTTATTTTCTTGCAGCTTTGGAAAGGACCAGTGGTGTTTGGATTTAGGGTTTAGGGTTTAGGGTGCGAATAGTTGCATGTTGAGGGTTTGCGCTTCTTTGTCTGCGGAGGATTCTTTCTGCTGAGGGAAAGGGTTTAGGGTTTAGGGTTTTAGGGTTTAGGGTTTTAGGGTTTATTAGGGTTTATAGGCTTAAGGTTCATTAGGGTTTATATGTTTAGGGTTTAGTGTTTAGGGTTTAATAGGGTTTGTTTGTGCGTTGGTGTTTAGGTGTGGGGTTTGTAATGCGCGGGAAGTGCAGCGCAGCAACACAGACATTTACTACTTCTTCTGTTTCTTGTCAAAGTTCTCGAGAGGCATCCGGGTGTACAGAGACGAGAGGCGTTTATAGTATATGCATAGAGAGCAAAATACTCAGTGCAGGAAAATATATATCTGCAGAAGAATGCGACAAAAAGAGAGAAGCTGCTGCTGTTGTGCTGCAGCAGCACGTAAGGGGCTGGATAGCTAGACGCGAAGCAGCGCGCAGAAGACAGCAGCGAGACTCAGAGCAGCAGCAACAGCAGCAGCAGCAGCAACGCAAACTCTGGGAAGCAGCTGTTCGCAAGAAAAGACAGCAGCAAAGAGGCGGAAGCCCCACAACTTCAACCGACTTTGCTCTGCTGCATGCAGAAGCAGCAGCATGGCGTTCTATGCAAGAAAAAAAGATATGTGCTTGGGTTTCTGCTTGTACTTCGTCTGTCTGCTCGCAGCAGCAGCAGCAGCAGCAGCTGCAGCTGCAGCTGCAGTTGCTGCAGCAGCAGCTGCTGCCGCAGCAACTCCTCCCCCCACCGCAGCAGCACAAACAAACAACCAAACTCCACGCAGAGAAGCAGAAGAGGGAGGCGTTGCTGCTGCTGCTGCAGCAAGAGACCCAGCTGCTGCAGAGGATAGAGGGTCTCAGGCAGCAGGCGAAGCAACAACGGAAGCAGCAGCAGCAGCAGCTGCTGCTGTGCAAGATGGGGGAGCCCCTTATATGGGTACAGTCGAGCGGCGAGACAGCAACTGTACATACACCTGAAACAGAGGCTGCATGCACTTTGCATGCACTCTATCAGCGCTTAACTACAGGGCCCCTTGAGGCCCCTGAACGTCTGGAGGTGTTAGCAGCAGCAGCAGCAGCAGTGGGGCCCCACGAGGGCCCTCTTGCTGCTGAGATGTTGGAGTTGCTGCAGCGGGAACAGACGCTGCTGCAGCGAGGCCGCAGCAACAAACTGCTGCTCTCAGGGTTAAGACAGCGGATTAATACTCTGTTTGGCGAGCTTCTTCTCTCGCCCTCCTTCAACCCCAGAGCCCAATGCCTACCCCCTACTCCCTTCTTATCTTGGTAATAAACAATGCATGCATGCACCATTTGCATGCATGCATTTGCATGCATACATCTACATGCATACATCTGCATGCATGCATCCACCAACATTTGCATGCATGCATACAAATGCATGCATGCATGCATGCACCATTTGTATGCATGCATACAAATGCATGCATTCATGAATTTGTATGCATGCAAGCATTTGAGTGCATGCATTTGCATGCATATATCAACGGCCTCCAAAAGATAAAAAAGCAAGAAGACAAAGCAAGTGGGGCCCCAAACGTAAAGCCACAGGCAAACCCAAATAATTAAAGAGGCCCCTCCAGCCAATTGAGGCCCCCTTCCTGTCTATTAAAGGCTCCTAAGGTCCCCTGGGGGCCCCCAGGGCCCCCAACTGAGGGTACTCTTCGGGCCCTCCGGGGGCCCCCCCTAGGGCTCCCCAGGGCCCCCAACTGAGGGTACTCTTCGGGCCCTCCGGGGCCCCCCTTTAAGGCCTATAAGACAGTGTTGGGGCCCCCAGAGGGGGCCTTGCCAGAGAGGCCCTCAAGGGGGGCCCTCCTTAAGGGCCCCCTCCTCCCTTAGTATAGTGATAAACGCCCCCACGGGGGGCCTAGAGGGGCCCCCCTTGGGGTCCCCTTCCCTTAATACAGTGCTGGGGCCCCGAGGGGGGCCCCCCTTAAGGGCCCCCTCCTCCCTTCATATAGTGTTAAGGGCCCCAGAGGGCCCAGGGGGACCCCCATTGGGGGCCCCTTTCCTTAATACAGTGCTGGGGGCCCCCAGGGGGCCCCCCCTCAGGGCCCCTTTCCTTAATAAAGTGCTGGGGCCCCCTCGGGGGCCCCTAAGCCTAATTCAGTGCTGGTACCCTATGGGGCCCCTTTTTGTTTGAGCTGAAGTGCTGCGGAGGTTGTCGTTTGTTTATTTGTTTTGTCTGTTTGTTTATTTTGTTTTATTTATTTATTTAATTTAATTTAATTTAATTTAATTTAATTTATTTATTTATTTATTTATTTTGCAATAGGGAGGTGAATGATGTTGTCTTCCCACTCCTCAAAAAGAGAAGCGGAGTGAAGCTAAGAAAAAAAAATAAACAAAAAACAAAAAAATAAAGATAGACATATAAATAAAAAATATAAGACAGACTAACAAACAGAGACAGACTAACAAAAAGAGACAGACAAACAAACAGAGACAGACAAACAAACAGAGACAGCAGCAAACAAACAGAGGAAGCAGAAAACAAACAGAGGCAGCAGCAAACAACAAACAGAGACAGACAAACAAACAGAGACAGACAAACAAACAGAGACAGACAAACAAACAGAGACAGCAGCAGACAAACAGAAAAAGAGAGACAGGAGGGGTTAAGCAGAAACAGAGAGAGATATAGTGAGACAGACAAAAGCAAAAGGAGATAGAAGGAGACGAAAATATACAAAGAAAACAGAGAGAAAGAGAGAGAGAGACAGGGAGAGACAGAGAGACAGCAAGCAGAGACAGAGAGGTACGTGCTGCTGCTGTTTGCTTGTTGGTGCTTTGTTTGCTTTCGCTGCACTGATGCTGCAGGCATTCGCGCTGCTGCACCAGTGAGCAGCAGCAGCAGCAGCAGCAGCATCAGCAGCAGTAGAAAGCCTGAGGGCTTACAGCGTTGTGCTGCTGCAAAGCAGCAGGAAAGTTCTCCAGTATTGCTGCTGCTGTGGGGCGCAGCAGCGCATGCAAACGCAGCAGCAGCTGCGCCTTCCAGTGCTGCGCCACATGCCAGCGAAACGCCTGCTGCCCGCACTTTGCACCTGCGCAGACACCAGGAAATGCATGCACTCTGCATGCACATTGCATGCGCTCTGCATGCGATTTGCATAAAAAATGCATGCACTATGCATGCACTTTGCATGCGCTTTGCATGCACTTCGCATAGAAAACGCATGCACTATGCATGCAAGCTGCATGCACTTTGCATGTACTTTGCATGCGCTTCACATAGAAAATGCATGCGCTCTGCATGCGTTATGCATGCAATTCGCATGCTCGACGATCCTCTCAGACACCCCGCAGCACAACAAAAGCAAACTCCTACAGACACTCTAAAACCCCACAACTCGATGCGGTTTAGGGTTTAGGGTTTAGGGTTTGGCTGACCTATGGGGAACTCTTGGCCTTGTCTCTGTTCGTAAGAAGCGACGAGGGTTTTGGGGTTTTCTTTCACAGGGAGAAGTGGGGCACCGGGCCCTGCAGCAGCAGCAGCAGCAGCAGCAGCAGCAGCAGCAGCAGCAGAAGCAGCAGCAGCAGAAGCAGCAGCAGCAGAAGAAGCAGCAGAAGCAGCAAGGGGAAACAAGAGAGATGCCTCATCACACGCCAGCAAATAAAACGACAAAAACTAATACAAATTAAACAAAACAAAACAAAGACAAACAAACAGAAAAAACCCCGCACCGCCAATAAGCTACTCTGCTCACCGTTAGGGTTTAGGGTTTAGGGTTTAGGGTTTAGACAAGGAAAGATAAACAGGGAGATAAGAAACAGATAAAGCAATGCATGCAGAATAATGCATATAAAAGGAGACAGAAGAACAGAGACAGAAGAAAATAGATAGAGCAGCAAAAGCAAAAGAGGCTCACATAAAAAACAAAAGCAGCAAAATAAAGTAAAACACAACAAAAAACAAAGCAGCAAAATAAAACAAAACACAATAAACGACATTACCCAGCCACTGCAGGCCTTGCGATGAGAGCCACGAAGAAATATCGCCTTCCCATACAGCGTCTGTACAGCACATGCATCAACAAACTGCTGCTGCTGCTGTTGCTGCTGCTGCTGTTGCAGCTGCTGCTGTTGCTGCTGCTGCTGTTGCTGCTGCTTCTGTTGCTGCTGCTGCTGTTGCTGCTGCTGTTGTTGCTGTTAAAGCAAATGCTGCTGCTGCTTCTGCTGCTTTTTCCTACCGCTGCTGCTGCTGGTGCTGCTGCACTACAGCAGCAGCAGCAGCAGCAGCAGCAGCAGCACTGTTTCGGGAGCGCAACCCCTCACGCCATAACCGTACACCCTATGCTGCAAACCCCAAACTTTCACGCTAAACCCTAAACCCTAAACCCTAAACCCTTCTTACTCACCCGAGTCGTATTGCTCCCCCAGCAGGTCTAAACAATAATGGCGGCTGGCGGCCCTCCGACAGACAATACACCGCGTCACGCTGCACACAAACTCCAATAAACCCTAAACCCTAAACCCTAAACCCTAAACCCTAGAGCGCCTCAACGCTCATACCCAGGTGCACCACATGCCTTAAAACGCATCTCCACGGCTCTCTGCATCACACAAATCTTAAACCCTAAACCCTAGCAGAGTGATTTCTTCTCTGCTAGGGTTTAGGGTTTAAGATTTAGGGTTTAGGGTTTCTCTAACAGCCCTTCAGAATCACCCCACACCAGCCCTTTCCCCAAGGGGCCCCCAGGGCCCCCTTGCTCGCCTCCTTATAGGAGCCCCCCGTCAGTTGTATGGGGGCCCCCAAGGGCCCTCCAAATGTCATAGAGGCCCCCTGGTTTCTGAGTGGCTTTAGGGCTTAGGGGCCCCGCAACAATCATATAGAGGCCCCCTGAATATACTGTGGGGGCCCCTAGGGGCCCCCCAACTGCCCTAGGGGCCCCCCAACTGCCCTAGGGGCCCCGCAACAGTTGTATAGGGGGCCCCTGCAGATACCTTGGGGGCCCCCAGGGGCCCCCAGTGGAGTAGGGTCTAAGAGAGGAGCAGCTGCTTACCAATCCTGTAGCACAGGGGCATCTGATAAGCGGCATGCGGGATATTGCTTCAGCAGCAAACGAACATCAGAGGGGAATGCATGCGTCTCCATCTGCAGCAAACGGCAGCAGCAAACAGCAGCAGCAGACGACTGAACAGCCACTTATTCGGGGCCTTGCAGAGCGTAAACCCTAAACCCTAAACCCTAAACCCTAGCAACCGCTCCGTAGATGTGAACGCTAATCTATGGAGGCCGTTTGCTTACTGCATCCCGCTTTGCTAGCGTGAGGCTCTCAATCCTTTCACTCGCCTGCAGCAGAGCAGCAGCAGGAGGCATCCCCCGAGAAGAAAGGGTTTAGGGTTTAGGGTTTAGGGTTTAGGGTTTTGATGGGGGCCACAGCATACGAGACTAACGTTAAACGCCTCACCGCCACAAGTTTAGCGATGTCCAACTCCTTCAGACCGCGCAGTGCTGCAACACAACACACAATTCTGCTGCTGCTGCTGCTGCGGCTGCTGCTGCTGTTCCTAAGACTGCAGCAGCTGCCAGTATTGTTGCTGCAGTGTTCCTGCAATTCCTGCTTAGAGCGCTGCTACAGTTGCTGCAGCAGCAGCAACAGCAGCACCAGCATCAGCAGCACCAGCTACACCACCAGCAGCAACAGCAGCAGCAGCAGCTGCTGCTGCTGCTGCAGCAGCAAGCAGCAAGGACACACCATCGTCAGAAAGAGAAGCAGCAGATGCTGAGGGAATTTCTACAGCCAACTTCTTTGGGGAGAAGTCCGGTGAGAATAAACTCAGAGAGAGACAGAAGGTGTACAGCTCAAAGCACTCCTTCAGGCTTAGGCTTTGCTGCATGCAGACACTAAACCCTAAACCCTAAACCCTAAACCCTAAACCCTAAGCTCGTGAATATGTAGCCACAGCCGCAACAAACATAAACACTAAACGGAGTCAGACAAAACGACCGGTAGAGATAAACAGGAGGCCCTCCCAGCACCGCAGTGCAAGCCAGTCTCTACCCCCCCAAACCCTAACCCTAAACCCTAAACCCTAAACCCTAAACCCTCACTTCTACTTGAGCTGCTCGTCCCTCCTCCTCCATCAGCTGGTGGTGGAACCGCAAGGCCTCGAGAGCCTCATCGGCAGAAGATTCGCTGCTTGCTGAGTCCAGCGCCTCTTCTGCTCCAAACCACAAACCCTAAACCCTAAACCCTAAACCCTAAACCCTAAACCCTAAACCCTCTAACGCGTGTCGAGAGAGCGAATTGGGGTTTCAGGAACGGCAATTCTTCTTTCGGAGCACTTTTCAAAGCCATACCCTCTAAAGCCCCCAAACTCTAAACCCTAAACCCTAAACCCTAAACCCTCGTTTGGGGTTTGCTGCTCACCGGAACCGGTCGCTGCGCCAGAGCCCTCCTCTTCGCTCTCGGCTATGAAGCTGCCTGCACTCTCTTCTGAGTCATAGGCGGCCTCTCGCATGTCTCTTGCAAATGAGAAGAACTACACGCACACCAAACCCTAAACCCTAAACCCTAAACCCTTCCTAAGCAGCAGCAGCACACCGCCACCCCAACCCAGAATTCCCAGCACTAACGGCGAAATACAACAACAGCAGAGCAGTGCCAGGAGCAGCAGCAGCAGCAGCAGCAACAGTAGCAACAACATCTGCAGCAGGCACAGCTGCAGCTGCAGCAGGAAGAACAGCAGCGGCAGCGCATGCAGCAGCAAGAAACGCAGCACCAACAGCTACAGAGCAATACATGTGGAGTCGCACTTGAGATACATTTCTGCTTCGCACGGTCTTCCTTCGTCTGACTGTTGCTTTTGAATTGCCCTGTTTGCTGCTACCGCTGCTGCTGCTGCTGCTGCTGTCGCTGTCACTGCTGCTGCTGCTGCTGCTGCTGCTGCTGCTGGAGTCGTCGTCGGTCGAGGGCCCCTCACCGACACTTAGGCCCCTCGAGCGATTTCTTTTTTCTCTCACAGTCTTGGCGAGTTTCTGCAGCCGCTGCTGCACCTCCTTTTGAGAGGGCCTCGATGCCGTATGCAGCTGCTGCTGCTGCTGTTGCTGTTGCTTTTGCTGCTCTTGCTGCTGTTGCTGCTGCTGTTCTTGCTGCTGTTGATCCTCCCACAGCTGCTGTGATCTACGCAGACGACGATGTACAGGAATTGGCGAGCAAGATCTGCTACTGCCTTCTGCTGCAGCTGCGCTGCTGCTGCTGCTGCTGCTGCTGCTGCTGCACTCAGCCGCACAAAGGGGCGGCTGGGCTGGAGCTTCCAGCGAGCCCCGACTTGTGTCAATTTGTTCCCTCACAATCTTTGGATCAACACTGGTATTGCTGCTGCTGCTGTTGCTGCTGCTGCTGCTGCTGCTACTGTTGTTGCTGCTGCTGCTGCTGTTGGCTGTTTCGCTGCTGCTGCTGTTGATGGTTTCACATGGTGCTGTTGTAGCTCTGCATGCAGAAGCAGCATCATCGCTGCTGCTGTTGCCGTCGATCCGCAGCGGCTGGCGTCGCCTTCTTGGTCTCGGTAAGGAGCTCTCTCCTTTTCCAGCAGCAGCATCAGCTGCTGCTGCTGCTTCACCTGCTGCTGCTGCTGCTGCATCTGCGTCTGCTGCTTCTCCTCCTGCTGCTGCTGAAGAGATCCCCGAGGCGCTCCGCCGCAGCCGCTTCCTTGGGAAGTAACGCAAAGAATTCAAACTGCTGCAGGGGCTGACCTGCGCTGCAGCTGCTACTGCTGCTGCAGCACCTGCTGCAGCAGCTGCAGCAGGAGAACCATGTGAGAACAGAGACGCAGCAGGGCTCGCAGCAGCGTTGCTTCCCGACCTTCGGGGGGTTTGAAGGGCGCCTAAGCTCTCCCTAGCAGAAGCTGTTTTCTGCTTTGCTGCAGCCTCAGGTGTACAGGCTGCTGAACTTGAACGAGAAGCCAGACGCGCTGAGCGACGCCTCAAAGGAGTAGAGGGGCCCCCAGCTTGTGCTGCAGCTGCATGCGGGTTAGTGAAATGGCTGAAAGGGCTGGGGGGCCCCCGTGCGCTACGATGATCGCAGGGGGGCCCCTCTGCTGCATCGTCTGAATCCACCAGGGGCACTGAACGTCTGCTGCGGCGGATGGAAGAACCTTCCTGCAGCGCTACATCGCAGTGCTCTTGCTGCTGCTTCTCTTGGTGCTGCTGTCCTTGCTGCTGCTGCTGCTGCTGTGGGGTTGTGTTGGGCGTCGCTTCATCTTCGGAGTCGGTAAGGAGGATCGCCAGTTCGGTGTCTGGGGGCCCCATGACGCAGCTGCATGCTGCTGCTTCTGCTCTTACAAGGGACCCCTAAACAGAAAGCCCTGCTAGGCTTGTTGAGCAAGGGCGTTGGGGCTAGAGCATTGAAGCTGTAGCACCAGTAGGTTCCTGTGCAGCAGCAGCTTCTGCTTCTGCTTCTGCTTCTGCTGCTGTGTTAGGATAGCGCTGCAGCCACACGGGCTGTTGTGTGCGTTTCCCTCTGCTGGCCCTCGTTCATCGAGAAGGCTCTCTGCTGGTTCTTAGATGAGGGGCCCCTCTGCATGCAGCTGACGAAGGGGGCCCTGCAGCGGGGGAAAGCGGGAGAAATGGCTAAGACATATGGCTTCTTTAGGAAACAAAAACGAAATAATATCAAAATATTCAATTAAAAATATATTTAGAAGTAATACCTTCCCTATTGCCTCCCCTTGCGCACAGCGGCGTCGTGGCTCCGGCGGGTTGGCGAACCGGACCGGTGCTGGTTCATGAAGAAACCGATTAAGTTATTCAAATTAAGTAGAAAAAATAGAAATTAAAACCTTTTTCCTTTCTTTTTAGTGGTTGTTCGGTGTCTAGACACTCCAAATTGCTCCTTCTTCCCTTGTTTAAAAATGCCGCGGTGAATCTGCACAGTCGCCGACGAAACCTCCAGGGGGTGTTGCATCCCCTTGCCATACTTCCTTGCAAATATATTGCACAAAAAATAAATAATTAAATAAATAATAATCAACTGAATTTAAACAGCACAAATTAAGGGGGAAACATCATTCAAACAAAACAATTTCAGGCAAATTCAAGATGAAACCTCTACGCGTTTCGCTACTAGCACTCGAGGCGTTCTTCTTCTCGTTGTATTGGCAGTAAGACAACAAATCCTTCCTTCTTCATGATACATCGAAAATCTTTGTTTATTTAGAAGAATTAAAGCTAGAAAATATCCGTTTTCTCCATTAGTTGGAGGGGAGGGCTCGCCTCTTGTCCTTTGTAGCCTTTTTCATCGGCGTCCCAGTTCAGATTATGAAACAACAAACCCCGCTACAAGCATATTCCTCACCCCACCCTTTATAAAGTGTCCATGAGGAAAGAAAAGAAATAAGGGATAAACTGATAAGGTAGAATTGTTTCTTTATTTCCAAAGAACAGCATATTTAAAAAGGAATTGCCTCTTTGATGAGACCATGAAAGGCGAGATCGACAACTCGGCTCTCCACGTGGAAACCTTCCCGTTACGTTCTCGTATGAAAAATAAATAGAAAAACTTAAATATATAATGCTGATACACGAGAGAGAAGAATTTTTCTTTCTCTCTTTCTAAGCATTGCCAACCTTGACCTGCGCATACACCCCAAACATGAACACGAGGCTGGGGAAGAACCGCGAGCGCCTAAAGATTTTTATTCTTCCGAAGTAAATCTTTTTTAACAAAAAGATCCCAGGGCCTTTTAGGTAGAGGAACTCTTTTTCTCCGCTGCATCGAAGAAGGAAGGGCAAACACGATGCAGCTGCTATTTTTTTTTCTCGTTTTCCTCTACTTCCGCGTTAATGCAGAAGCAACACAAGAGAAGTTTTTGGGTAGAGACGGTTTTTGCAATTGAGTTGCAGCATTTCTCTCAACAGCACAAACCTCTGTCAGGCCAGCTGGCTGGAGCTGTCATTGGGGGAGCAGCGCAGTCCTTGTTAGGGGCTCCCCCAAGTAAGAACCATATCGCTTCTTCTTTCTCTCTCTCTCTCTCTCTCTCTCTCTCTCTCTCTCTCTCTCTC